AGTGGACTCCCCCACTCTATCCCAACATACAGTGGACTCCCCCACTCTATCCCAACATACAGTGGACTCCCCCACTCTATCCCAACATACAGTGGACTCCCCCACTCTATCCCAACATACAGTGGACTCCCCCACTCTATCCCAACATACAGAAAAATTTCATTTTTGTGGAATAGAACACAATAGTTGTGTGCAAACTTAGATTCAACACTGTTTTGTGCCACGTGTCATTTCCAGACATTGAAGTTACTGCTGTCTCTCATGACATGTTTTGTCTTCAGTTCTATCTGCAAGTGTATGTGTGCACACAGTCACCCAAACCTAATACAGTGTGTTTGGAAGGCAGAGTAATCAGTATGGGAATCAAACCCAAAACCTCTGTGTGAGAGATGAACTGTACAATCACCGAGGTAAACTTGTTGTGATAAAATAAATCAAATGATATCTAGTCAATTTGTTTGACATAAAAACATACACACAATTTTTTGATGATAATAAACAAAAAATATTCCCTACCATATCATGTATTGTTACAGCAACCTTTGTTAACATCGTCAACACCGAACCACTCTCAACAAAATCCAAAATATTTGCCCTATTAACACCTTGAATCAACCTTCTTAAAATATTGCTACATTTCATCACCATGACAACAGTCTGTTCTGGTTTATGGGATGCTGAACGACAAATGGCCTGACACAGTACAAACAATCCCATCATGCATCTTGTCTGGTTGGTTAAAAGAAAGTGCTCCAGAGGAAGCATTTCCAAAACCTGTCAAGAAATAAAATGGATACAGTTTGTGATATATAAATTAATTTATTTGGATGTAACATATTCATTCAATATATGATTATACGCTTCTATTATAATAATACCATTTGTGAACTTCAGAAACGTTTTAGATCACACACTCAAGTTCATTTGGCTTTCTGTTTTTTTGGGATTGCAACAAGCTAATTTACTGAAAATATCTACCAATATATTATCACAACTCACAGCTCTATTTACTACAGAGAACTACTTCATTACTTAACTCAGTGAAATAAGTACATAAATTCTGACGTATAGAGATGTACACATACTTGGCATGGTAAAATCTTGGCATTTTGAAATAGAAAGAAAATGAAAAATTTGCATTTTGTTTTTTTTTCATATACCAGTATGACAAAATTCATAAATAGAGATTAATTAGTGCACTGCATACATGATCTGTTTATCTCCCACAATGCACTGCATATAAGATCTGAATATCTCCCACAATGCATTTGACTAAAACTGTCTTATGCAAAAGAATAAAGGACATCCATATGAACATACCTCTAAAATTCTCCCAATTTTCTTGTAATGTTTGTTGTTTAGTTGAATATCATTTTCCATCTTCCCTGACATGTATACATTCATTTTGATCCCAATATTTTGAATTTGTTTCCAGCTTTCATTCAATGCCATAGTGTCTGCAGTTGTGTTATCACAGTCATCTTCCATCGCCTCATTCCTTATCTTAAGACTAGAAAAACAATTAATTTAAAAGTTTACTTTTCTGTATTTGTATTAGTTTAGTTCAGTATCTTTAGTTTCATAAATTACAAGTAATATTTATCCAAGGATTTTGATAGTAAGGTATCAACAAGGTGTGGTACAGCTGAAAATGTCATTGTTAATGACATAGTCCCTGTTAAGCTGATAAAATGACAGATATTTATAAGATAAGGAGATATGCAATAAAAAATAATGATATCATTTGAATTTGCATAAATTACAACATGATAATAACATTATAAGGCAATAATGATGATTTGCATTCATTCCAAGTTTTTTCTCCTGTGTTCATACTCACAGCAAATGTATTGAATGTTAAACCTCTCCTGTGTTCATACTCACAGCAAATGTATTGCATGTTAAGCCTTGCATACACACAACAAATTCACACATAATGCCATCCTAAAGAGAACTTTCCCCATTATTATTTTGAGTGATGTTTTGTACACTCCCTAAAAAGAAAATTCTGGGGGAAATATATAATTCATATGAGAACCAGAGGGCGCTCTCAATCATCATAATCTTTGTCAATAAAATTAGCAGATTCTGTAAACTTTAGCGCATGTTATTTTTAGCTGAATGTAGTAATAACCAGATTCAATTTACCTTGGACGTGAATCCACCTGCTGTAACCATGGTATCTCTTTGGCAACCAACTTTGATAATACTTGCATCTCATATTCAGCATCATAACTGGAAATGGATATTTGCATTCAGGGAAACTATTCTAACTGTCAAAGTATATCACAGTTTAAAAACATTTTTGATAAAAATCAAATCAAGCAAAAGCAAAGATAGAAATTAAATCATCATTAGAGATTTCATTTCATGTCTGATTTCCTGAAATCAACAAACAATATCTGCATGATTCCTGTCGTGATTTCTCACCCAATTCTGACAACAAATGATGAGTTTGTAACACCAAGGTTAGTAACTATGGTAACACACAGAATCATAATCAAAATACCTGTTAAACATTTTCAATAATTCCTGGAGTAAACTTGTTACCATGGCAGCCTGTATGAGTACAGATTCTTGAAATACCTCACTCTGCAGTAGAGTTGAGGAATCTTGAATTAACACATCACTAAAATGAAAAATATAATTATTGTAATTACGTTGTAAGTACACTCATACTTTTTCCGATTGGATTAAGAAATTTTCAATATTATCAAGAATGATGTTCATGAAAGTGATCCATGCACCATTTGAGAAACTGTTGATGAATTTATGTGTTTTGTGCTATTTTTGACACAAAAAAACACCAGTCGGTCATGAAATTCAAAATCAAACCACATAATACCATATATGGAAATAATCTGCATAAACTTCCCATAATGCACTGTAACATCACACAAGAAGAACGCAGATAAGAAAGAACACCTTACCTAATTTGTGGTGTGTGAATATATTTTAAAAACCACATAATACCATATATGGAAATAATTTGCATAAACTTCCCTTAATGCACTGTAACATCACACAAGAAGATCGCAGATAGGAAAGAAGAAATTACCTAATTTGTGGTGTGTGTTTATGACTTGTACATATCATCTTGACAACATAGTGTGACAGTAGCTGTAATTGATCAGCATTACAGAGTGGTAGGAAGACCAGTACATGGTTTGATATCAACGACATCTCACAAACTGAACTTGGCATCAAAGGAAAAAGAGAAACCTGTGGAAAAGAAAAATAACAGTTTGAAGAAAAATGAACAATCAACAATCTCCAGATTTTGTGATGACAAACATTTCTGAATTTGAAAGGACTTGCATGGATATATGAGACAGTATTTCTCACCTCTGTAACAGTCTGTATATTATCTTCTAGTTGACAGATATATGCAAGTGAATTCTGCAGACTTTCTTGAATGGCTGGACATGAATCAGAACCAAACACTAGAAGTGCCTTGACCTTCTGAACACTTAAAAGTTTCTGTAAAAAAAAAAGACAACCAATATAAGAAATACATGTATAGAACATGGAGATCAGAATGGCATGGAATGAAATCAAAAAGTTGAACATCTGAAAATATAATAAGATTATAATCCAGGAAATTATAATAAGAGATTAATATGATTAAGGTTTTTACATAGTAAGTCATCTTGATTATATCATTAATATAATTACTAAATCATAGTAAAAGTTGACCATTAAACACTGACAAACTGATCTATAATTAAATAACAGTGTACATTAACCATATTAACCTGGTAGGTTCTGACTATATTTTTGTTGGAACAATATTGCACAGTATTCATGTTAGGTAAAATTGATTTCGGTGTAACTGTAATCCGCTTGACAGCATTCATGAGAATAAAATTTCACGATAGTCACTGAGAATTTAAGGTCCAACTGAAATATTCTCTGATACAAAAATGTTGCTATACAGTAAAGATCACAATATATTACTAACTCACCATCATATATTTATGAGCTGTGTTCACATCCACACCACTCTGTGTACACAATGATATCCATTTATCTGCAGTAATATGACTATACAGATAACTAAAATCTAACGCTTTCAATGGCTGCTGTATACTGGATGGACAAACTTCTTTTTTATCTCTGTATTTAGTGTGTTGTTTTAACAATAAATGTACATCACCCCAGCAATGGTAGAGATACAGTGTGCATAGAAATAGACGTGGAATAACCTGTAAAAAAAATCAAAGTACTGGTCATGGT